CTATAATTTGCCTGGTAAGATGCCTGATATAACTTTCTATACATTGAAGTGAAAAAAAAACAAAGAACAGGTCTCTTTTTGGAGTAATATTTACATCATCTGCCCACTAGAAAATTACAAGCAAATTCTGATTGTTTATGTATCAATTGAAGCTTGACCACCATGGAAAACCTGAAAGCATCGGACGACTGTTTCGTCCTATTTTTGGGACTCCTCAGTAGTGTGCATCCACGATCTCGCCTCGCGAGATTCGAACCCAGGATCTACCAGTCTTGCGAGCGAGCGCTTAATCTCTAGACCACTTAGCCTTCTGGAATCCAACAGTGTTAATATCTAACTTCAACTAATTCACAATATCACGCGACCATCTTCGATTGTACTGTCTCTACGCTTTGTTCATAAGACATGTAACAAAAGTACCTTTGTAATGAATAGGTGCAAAGATTAAGGATATATTTGTAATGAGCAGGAGATGACCTTATTCTATATTGATATTTTTATCAACTCATCTGTTTTTTGCGACTTGATGAGATTTTCAGAAATTATATTCAGTTATTATGACTGTTCTTATAAATGAAAATAATTACCAACAGTATACTGTCAAACTGAGAGTAATAGTAATATTCTGACCGCTAGTGATAAATGTATGGTTACAGCAATTCCAAATCTGATTAGTTTCTTTAATATTTTTTCAATTAATAATTCGATTGACTTGATTAATAATTAAGAAATATATGAGATTTAAGTGAATTGAAACTTCATTGAAGCATCGTTGATGAACAAGAAGGATGAGATGTAGATGTAAAAGCGAGAATTGACGAAACAAGGGCAGCATGTAGCGAAAGCCTCTACATTAATAGGCCTCAATATACACAAAGGAAAAAGCAAGATTTTCAAATACAACACCGAGAACGTCAAGCCAATCACACTTGATGGCGAAACTCTGGAAGAGGTGGAAACATTCACGTATTTGACTGGTCAGTATCATCGACGAACAAAGAGAATCAGATGTAGATGTAAAGGCGAAGACTGACAAGGCAAGGACCACATTTGTCGAATTGAAGAACGTGTGGAACGCAAAACAGCACTCAGTTGGTTTCAAAGTGAGGATCATCAATACAAACGTAAAGACAGTCTGTTCTATTGTATGGAGCTGAAACGTGGAGAACTACTACGGCCATCATCAGGAAGGTACAAGTATTTTTAAACAGTTGTCTACGCACAATACTCAACATTCACTGACCGGATACTATCAGCAACACCGTTTTATGGGAGAGCACGAACCAGGTTCCAGCTGAAGAGGAAATAAGGAAAAGATGTTGGAAGTGGATAGGACATACATTGACGAAATCACCAGACTGCATCACGAGGCAAACGCTAACTTGGAATCCGGAAGGGAAGTGGAAAGGAGGAAGGCCAAAGAACACATTACGCCGGAAAATAGAAGGATATATGAAAAGTATGAATGTTAATTGGAAGGAACTGGAAAGGATTGTTTGGAACAGCGTTGGATGGAGAATGTTGGTGGGCTGACTATGCTCTTCCGTGGGGTAAAACATGCGTAAGGAAGTAAGCATGGAATTGAATTATCTATTTTCTGCTCGGCCAGTCAGTCAGTCAATCAGTTACAACGTAGAACCACGCACATTTATTCATCGGTCTAAGTTGCCATACCTCGTTAACACAACAAAATGAACACCGGATTCATAGAAGTAATTAATTTAGTGTTGGTAGTATGTAAAAGATAGGTTGTATATAAGGATATGGTATAGGAAGGAAGAAAGTTATGGAGCAATTTTAATCTTAAGGTTTAAAGGAAAATAAAGAGTGTATACACGTCCGCCATTGTGATCAATTCTGAACCATGTCACCTAGAGTCTCCAACCATTGGTTACGATAGTCACGCGGACCCCAACCAGACAGTCTGTATCTGCCAACATGGCTCAGACTAGAAGTTAGTAACTTCATGCTCTGATGCCACGTTTTAGTTTGGCCGCTCCTAACTCTCTTCCAACTATCCCCTACACTAGTCAGCATAGCGCGTCGTGGTAATCGGTGTTCAGACATACGTAACACGTGGCGTAAATATTTTCTGTTGGTATTTACATCACCTGTAAATCAAATAGCTAATAACTTAATTTCAATATTCTTTTTGATATACTTTCGTTACTAACGTACTATATGTATTGTGGGTTGTTTTGTAGACTTATTTGATGACGTTTATATTTCATAGAAATGAAAAACAAAAAAAAAACATTTTTCACATAGAAGTGAGTAAATACAAGACAATACAATTTTTGCCTGTAATTACATGTTTTGTGAAAACAAAAAAAAAACATGAAAAATATTTTTTTTTTGGTAACCAACGTATATTGATTATTGAACAACATAGAAGATTGATATAGAATAATTGGAATTCATTTGATTTCATTAGGTTCTCATCAGTTGCTTACTACATATTTAACAGTTAAAATCAATGTTATGACAGATAATGGCATACTGATATATATACAACAATGATTAAAGATGAATAAATGTATTTTAATGTAGCCCTCAAATGTCTTGATACAGTCGAGTGTGGGGAGAGTACACTCTCCCTCTCGAAATCCTCTCACATTGCCACAAGTATATAGCCTCTGCTAGATAAGTCCTACCCACTGACTTCTCGTGCCACGTGTGTTGTTCATGAAATTGAGAATACGAAAAGCGAATATCCGGCGATTTAACCGGATTGGTAGACACGGCGAATCCACCTAGGGGAGTTGGAAAACCCTGATTCCAAATCAATCATGCACATTTTCTTCAGTATCTTGTGGGAACAAATGGTGTATGAAAAAAATCGTTGATCACCGACTATCATGGGACTGCATCTCCTTACCATGCTCCATAACCTTGTCGATCAGATCTTTAGGTCATTGGCTCCGGGTTTGGCCCCCTAAGAAAACCACGTGGTTCAGTCTGGGCAGCTGGACAGTATCACAGCCCTCACACAAATAAACTCTAGGAGGGGGAAAAGTTCTAGAACATTGAAATAATAATTAGAACTCGTAGAGTTAACAAACAATATATGATTTTGTAATGAAGCAACTGAAAATAGATTAATGATAATAAAGAAATATATGGATTGAAATCAGTCAGTTATAAATTGAAAAAAAATGGTAGTGATGTAAGTTAAACTTCAGAAAGAGTTCAAAGAAAGAATGATTTTTTTAAAAACAAAAAAAGGGGTTTCATGTTACCATGGCAAAAAATAGATTTATCACTAACTCTTTTTAGATATTTCATTGCTATCACTTCAAAAGTGTTTATATGACTTTATAAATATAAATCGATTAATAATAGTATGATTAACATTATGTAAAGAATGTAGGTAAACTTTTCAATTTATGAAACCTTATAAGCGTACATTGATAGAATAGTAATCAAATTGCTACATACTTTATAAACTTGTACATTCACTAGCCATTTCCTGGTAAATAAGTTACTTACTTACGTCTGTTACCCTCCGTGGAAGAGCATAGACCGCACACCAGCATTCTCCATCCAACGCTGTTCCAAACAATCCTTTCCAGTTCCTTCCAATTAACATTCATACTTTTCATATATCCTTCTATTTCCCAGAGTAATGTGTTCTTTGACCTTTCTCTTTTCCGCTTCCCTTCACCATTCCAAGTTAGGGAACTGTTACGTCTCAAAATTATTGCGTATTGCGATAGGACTACACGAATTTCTACCGATTGACCAAATTCAGATATCCTAGTTCGACCCCAATGCTGTTCCCCAACTCCAGTAAATCAGAACACAGCCGTCAAATGAGAATTGTTTATGGGGTCAGCAGCAGGAAAAAATGGTTTACAAACAAGGCATATTTATACAGTTACGATGACTATTAACAGTAACCAATGGAAAGGAAGGACACGTAAAGGTTATAATTAGGACAACTCAAAATTGACCAATAGGGAAACGACACATGAAAGTCATAGTTAGGACAACTGTAAATAATGGCCAATAGGAAATAACATGCGAATTATGTGAAGAGTCTGAAAACATACCACTTTGCATTCGAGATAATTTTTGGGATATTCTTGTGAATATCCTAACAGGAACTCAACACAACTGTCATCCAATATAAAAGTCAGATTATTCAATACGAACGTCAACAAAGTTCTACTTTATAAAGCTGAAACATGGAGAACTTCGACAACCATCATCAAAATATTACAAGTATTTATAAACAATTGTCTACGCAAGATACTAAATGTCCGGTGATCGGATACCATTAGCAACAGCCTACTGTGGGAGAGAATACACCAACTTCCATCTGAAAAGAAAATTAAGAGACAGGATGGAAATGGATACGATATACATTGTAGAAATCATTAAACTACATCACTAGGCTAGTGCTTACAAGGAATTCTGAGAAGAAACGGAATAATGAAAGAGCAAAGAACACACTACGTCGAGGATCGGAAGCGGAAATAAAAAGGATGACTAGCAACTAAGAAGTATTGTCTAGGATAAAGTTAGATGGAGAATGGTGGTAGTTGGTCCATGCTCCTCGATGAGGGGTAACAGGGTGTAAGTAACTAAATAATAATTACGATAACGTTCTTATACAATGATAAATGTTTGCTTCTTATTTAACATTCTATCATGTAAGAGTTTAGTTCACATTTTTTCTCTCTAACAAAAGCATGATGAAAGTATGAGTAGTTTGAGTAAGAAACTATGAAATTAGACAGTTTCGTCTTGTTACGGGACTCCTCAGTAGTGCGTATCCATGATCCCACACTCGCGAGATTCGAATCCAGGACCTACCAGTCTCGCGCGCGAGCACTTAACGGATAGACCACTGAGTCGACATCCAACAATTTTAATGTCTAACTTCAACCAATCCACGAAATTGAGCAACCATTCACCAATGTCATCAGTAAGTCGATATCTCATAACAGACCGCCATGGAAAACCTGGAAGCACTGGGCGGTCGTTTCATTCTATTATGGGACTCCTCAGCAGTGCGCACCTCTGATAAGCTTAATTTAATAGTCAATAAAACTCAAGATATATAAATATATTGCCATTTTTATTTAAGTAGTACATTTGATGTTCTGTGGTATCCCTCAAAGAAAAAAAACCAAAAAATAAAAATCAGTTCTTTACAATTAACATTTTTCAGTCTGTAAAAACTAAATTATTCTTTAAAAAAATTTTGCTATTTAGTTGCCATAGTAACAACTCAATATCATTTATTATGAATGAAATGAATGTAGTTAGGTTGAATTCACTTTTTTGAATTTTATCATGAAGAAGATTGATTCTTTCCCTTCATTGATTTATGAAGATTGATAATTGATACACCAATGAATACACTATAAACAAATGATGTAATAAAGCAAATGGATGTTAATAGAGTTATGTAATATTGTGCGAAATCACTTAATTCATCATAACAACCCTGATAGAAAAATAGAAAAAAAAAGAAAAGAAAAATACAAAAATTTGGTCAATTGTGTAAAATTGATCAAAATGTAAGTGATTAATTTCAACAAAGAACCTCATATTGATCTGAAAGTCTGAAAAAAAATCAAAAAATTTCGTAGTAATACCCTCGATGAAGATCGATTATTTGTGTGTAATACAATGTTTGACTTACTTACTTACTTACTTACTTACTTACTTACTTACTTAATTACTTACTTACTTACTTACTTACTTACTTACTTACTTACTTACTTACTTACTTACTTACTTACTTACTTACTTACTTACTTACTTACTTACTTACTTACTTACTTACTTACTTACTTACTTACTTACTTACTTACTTACTTACTTACTTACTTACTTACGCCTGTTGCTCCCAATGGAGCATAAGCCACCGACCAACACTCTTCAACCCACTCAATCTGTTTTGGGCCTTCTTTTCTAGTTCTATCCATTTTTTGTTCATTCTTCTCATATCTGTCTCTATTTCTCGACGTAGTGTGTTCTTTGGTCTTCCTCTTCTCATTTGGCCTTCAGGATTCCATGTTAAGGCTTGTCTTGTGACGCAGTTGGGTGATTTCATCAATGTGTGTCCTATCCACTTCCAGCACTTTTTCCTGATTTCTTCCTCTACTGGATGAAATCTGGTTTGTTCTCTCCCACAGTAGGTTGTTGCTCATAGTGTTTGGCAAACGGATCTGAAGTATCTAGCCTAGACAACTGTTAATAAACACCCGGATCTTCTGCATGATGGCTTTAGTAGTTCTCCACGTCTCCGCACCATACAGGAGAACTGTCTTGACATTTGTATTGAAAATTCTGATCTTGGTGTTGGTTGACAGACAATTGTTTTGAGTTCCAGATGTTCTTCAGTTGCAAATATGCTGCTCTTTCTCTGCCGATCGACGTCTTCATATCTTCATCGGATCCACTGTGTTTATCCATCATGCTGTCCAAATATGTAAAAATTTTCACATCATCTAGAGCTTCTTCGTCAAGTGTAATTCGATTGTATCGGAGAATCTTGCTTTTCCCTTTTTGTATAATGTGACTTACTGCTTCTGAGGAAACTGCTACACTGGTCGTCTTCTCCTGAATTTGTTGTTGCGTGTGTGATAGAAGAGCCAGATCATCTGCGTAGCCGTTGACCAACAATAGATTCATACTCTATTTGTTTCCTTAGGATCCTAGAATTCATGTGCACCATTGTTTTAGAATCAGCGTTTTCCAACTCCCCTAGGTGGACTTTCCATGTCCACCAACACGGTTAAATCGCCGGACATTCGCTTTTCATCCTTTCAATTTCGTAATCAACAGTAATGCCATGAGAAGGTAGTACTTCATAAGCGGAGTGATCAAAAGTACCTTCCTTTGAGTATTACACTTAATGTTCGTGTTCATTAAATGGTTCAACTTATATATTTGCATAGATAAAAACTTATGGTTCGATTATTTAAGGAGTCACGAATAAAATGTGATAAGTAATCATAACGATGAAAACTTCAAATGATTTCTTAAATACAAATTAAATTCTCATAGAATGTTGATTTTCAAGTCATGTCCACATAGAGCTTAATAAATGCTGAAAAAAATGAGTTTAAAAGTTCCCTTATCATGATCTATTGAATAATGATTCATTATTTCTGATGTTGATAGAAATATTACTTGTCTAGTTTTATAGTTAAGATCATGAGTCAATTGAAGCTAGACCACCGTGGAAAACCTGGAAGCACTGCTTGACCGCCGTTTCGTCCTATTATGGGACTCCTCAGAGGCGCGCACCCACGATCTCGCTTTGCGAGATTCGAACCGAGGACCTACCAGTCTCCAGCCAGAGCCCGTAACTGATAGACCACTGAGCTGGCATCCAACGGTGTTAATGTCTAACCTCAAACAATCCACGAAATTGCGCTACCAACTTCCAATGTACTGATGTAGATACTTGTCTCTACCTCACATGGATTAACTCCACTGGCCACGACTTCTCACTAGAACTTCAGGAACTACCTCAAGGAGCCACTCACTAGTGAGCATATGATTATTATCACAAGGGGGGTTTTGTGGAGATTTAGTAATTTTATAGTTAAGATCATGAATCAACCGAAGCTAGACCACCGCGGAATACCTGGAAGCACTGGACGGCTGTTTCGTTTAGTTATCAGAATCTGAATGTACAGTGAGTAACTACTGTTAAAGTCAACTTGAAAAAAAAGATTTTGCAAGATTCGAACTCAGGACCTATCAGTTTCGCGCGTGAGCACTTAACCTCTAGACCACTGAGTAGGCCGGTATCCAACAGTGTTATCGTCTAACTTTAACCAATCCACGAAACTGAGCAACCGTTCACTAATTGTCTCCAGTGAGTTGATATCTCAGAACAGACCTGGTTCAACTATAAGATTACTAAAATCTCCACAAAACCCTCTACTGAGAACAGCATGAATTGTTTTATTTTATGGAGATTTTTTAATCTGAAGAGAATCCATACTGTTCTATCACATTTATTGTTACTACACTAGTCATATATATAAATGAAATAAAATTAAAGTGATGTTTTGTGGCAGTAATATGAAGTACCGGAGGACCGTTTCGCTCTAGTATGGCAGTCCTCTACAGTACTTATCTATAATTTCGTACGCGGGATTCCAACCCAGGACCTTCGGTTTCGCAAGTGAACTCTTAATCTCTAAGCCACTGGATATCCATCTAACAGTTTCAATGTCTAATTTAAAATAAACCTAATCCATAAATTTAAAAAAAAATTAAACAAATAAATATTGACTTACTCTTGCATAAACAAACTGACCAATTCTACACGAATATGGTATCAATAATTTAGCTTTTCTAAAATCAGCATATGAATTAACTCCACAACAGAAGAACTATTCAAAAAAAAAACGAACAAACAATTATAGATTATGAGATGGTAGAGAAGATTTGTAGCTCAGATGGGTAATTTTGATATTGGTTTAGTCGTAGAGCTACCACGACCAAACCATTCAGCTGAGAGAATAAACCCATATCACAATTAAAGATTATCTATAACATTGAATAACTAACTTACTGTCATATGTAATTTATCAAATTCATCACCATATTCATTCTTCTCATAATAATATTTAATAGTAGTATTCAAGGCTTCTTTAGCATTAATAAAAAACTATAAATTCAAATATTCAATTAATCAATGAATCAATCAATCATGTAACTAACTTGATCATCAATGATAACCGATAAACTAGCTATACATAAATTAATTATTGTTTCTATGGTCAAACAAATAACATGCTAAAATATAATCAATGATATAGATATATCCCATAGTTACTATATTACTTACTAAAATATAAAAAATATTGATTTTTTTCCATATTCCAATAAATCCTAAACATGTAGCAACTAAACCAAGACATCCGGTGAAAATCCCTGTTGGATAGATAGCTGGTATGTTATATTGTATAATTAATTTATATTGAAATAAATGATCTTGTGCTTTTACACTTAATACAAATAAAATGAAACTGGTTACCTAAATAGAAGAGGTTAGAAGGGAAAAAAAAAGAGAGAAGAAAAACAAACTTACTGCTAGGAAACAATTTAATACAATGAATACATAGAACCAAAATTGTTGGGTTAACTTGAGTTTCATTATTGACTTTTTTTCTTCCTTTTCTTTTTTCTTTTTTTCTTTCTTCTCTTGGTGATTAAATGACTTAGAGATTAGTGAAATGATCAATGGAACGTTATTATGTTTAAACTGTTAATATAATAATAATAATGTATTACTTAAACAATAAGCATAGTAACTAATTGATGAATGAATCATAACAACAAAACACTTAATTAGATAGTATAATCAAATCTATAAAGAGGAATAATTACAGATTACCAAAAATCGAATAATAATAATAATAATCAGGCTACAACTACCAAAAAACTGTATGTTTTTGAGTTTCTGATGTGTATATGTGAGTGTGTGTGTGTGTGTGTCTGTGGGTGTAGATGTGTGTGTGGGAGGTGAGTAGGGGGATGAGTGTATTAGTGTAACGTAATATGTCAATTAATTATAAATTTAGTAATAAATTAAGGCAAAAACCAAAAATAAAAATAAGAAAAACGTAAAAAAATGTTTATCACTATACTATTCACACAGTACTTACAGTATGTATGTTACAACAACAACAAAAAAAGTAAAGCGAATTGGTTTGTATATGTGTGGATTTTCATTATTATTATTGATTTAAATCAATAATATACAGCTTAGTAACAGAAGCATTTAGAAGCAGTACTATTGAATGTCTCATTCCATAATAACATTCTTACTACTAAAGAACTATTTAATACTAGGGAACAGTAGACAGTTAATCTAATACTTTATCATTTAATTTTTAAATCAAGTATCGTAAAATCACAGATTGAAAGTGAAACATTTAATTGATTGATACGAAACTCAATATTAAATGCATTTGGATTCCTGAGTCTATGTAAGCTAGACCAACATTGAAAACCTTGAAATAATGCACAACTGTTTCATCCTAGTATGTGATTCATCAACAGTGTGTATCCACGATCTCTCACGTGGCACTCGAACATAGGACCTTCAGTCTCACTCTTGAACACTAAAACTCTAGACCATTGAGGCGGCAATCAACAGTGTTAGTGTCCAACTTCAGTCAATCCATGACCTTGAGCAATTATTCATCCATTGTTTGAGTTGAATACCTTTCTCTACCCCACACGGATTAAGCTATACTTGTTAGACATTAACACAGTTAGATGGCGGATCAGCAGGGTCTAGAGGTTAAAAGTTAGCACGCGAGATCGATAATCCTCAGTTCGAGTTCCGAATTCAAGATCGCGTTTGTGCACTGCTGAAGAGTTTCATGCTAGAACGAAATGACCGTCCAGTACTTTCAGGTTTTCATTGGTATTATAGCTTTACTCAGCTCATGAATTAAACTAATAAAACTACTACGATCTCCAGAAAACCCCATTCCAATAATAAATATATTCACTATCATTCCATATATTACGTTCAGATAATAGTACATAGTCTATCACTTACAAAATTAAATTGATATTATATTAATTTTAAGCATCTTTGGTTTTCAATAACTCGGCCTGTAACTCCTCCAGGGGCTACTGGCGGTCCCAAGCCCGGGTAAAGGAGGAGGTTTGGGTATGGGGTTAGCGACCCCATCCCGTAGAAAACCAACTTGCTAGAAAAACGCTAACCAGAAAAAATTATTCAAACCATTTAAACTCTGCCCTGAAAGTTGAAGGAATAATTATGACGTCCCATAATGAAAGCCGAGTTCCTTCGGAAGTCATGAGGCCGATGCACTTTCTAACAACCAGAGCAACAATTTTTACAGGTACATAGAATGTTCGGACAATGTGGGAGACCGGGAGAGTCCTCCAAATACTGTAGAAATGAGAAAATACAACCTGGAGTTGCTTGGAATCAGTGAAACACATTAGATGCAGGTTGGACAACAACGACTGTCTTCAGGGGAGCTTCTGTTATACTCCGGTTATGAAGACGAAAATGCCCCACATATACAAGGAGTTGCATTGATACTATCCAAAGAAGTACAAAATGCACTTATAGGATGGGAATCTCATGGACCAAGGATTATCAAAGCGTCCTTCAAAACAAAGAGAGAGAGGGCATTACAATGAACGTCATCCAATGCTATACGTCTACTTTTGTTCTTGTCAGTTATTATGTGACGAAATCTCCTGACCTTAATAACTATGTCTTTGCGCTAAACCAACAACACGTCAGCCAGCGTTAACCGCCTTGAGTCAACTCTGAACTAGAAACCCTGTCCATTCAGTCTAGAACACAATCTCAGTTTCCACTGCATAAAACGTATATTTCAGACATACATTGTCTACTTACAAGCAGACCAGACCCAATTACACCATATTATGAAAAGTAATAATCATACAAGATGAAGTCCAAAGTGGCTGCGAGTATGTGAGACTGAGAATAATAGACTGGGAATAAGTTAAGAATTATAAATACTTGTAATTTTTTGATGATGGTTGTGGAAGTTCTCCAAGTTTCAACTCCGTATAGTAGAACTATATTGACGTTCTAAGCCGAATCTATGTTGTGTACGCGGAAACGGTTATCAAAAAATTTAGAATGATTTGTAATATGTCTAAAAAGGTTTCAAAACAAGAAATAAACTTATTTGCTTCCAGCATTACTAGATCACATTTTCACTATACAGATATCTTATAGAAATCCACGATTATTACTTTCGTATATCTTTTATTAATTAGAGTTAGATAGAATTAGTTAGATATAAACTCCCTTCAGAGTTACTGTGTTTTGCATTGCTAAGTGGTCTTATACTATTTATTTATTTACTCAAACACAGACATTGGTACAAGAAGGCACCGAAATATATATGCGTCACACTTAATCATTCTATTTTTGTAAAAACTGGACTACTGTCTGGATGTCCAAACTGAAGCAGATGGTTTTTAAGGAGACTACTACCAGAGCTTTTGACCTAGAGGTCTAGTCTACAACGTTAGGAGGTAACCAACAAAATGTTCATATTCCATTAGTTCCATCAGGATCTTGGAGCCCTTGTGCATCACTGGTTTGAAATGTGGGTTTTTAACTCCTCTAGGTGTATCCTGTGTATCCACCGACCTGCTTAAAGCTGCAGACATTCACTTTTCGTCCTCTCAACTCCGTGTACAACATCTTCGACGCGAAAAGACAGTGAATAGGACTTCCCTTACAGTGGCTGTATACACGCGGTCATGTGAGAGCATTTCGGGGGGGGGGAGGAGAGTGGAATCTCCCCATTTTCGGTATTAATAAGACATTTGAGGTTGGTCTTATACTTAGACTCTTTAGCTTACAACAGAACTGTCATCCAATCTGATACAAATCACATAGATACAAAATCTCTCAATTTAAATTCAAGATTATTTTTCTTCTTTATTTATGACTAACCACAATTGATAGAAATAGATATTCAGTATTCACTTGATTCATCAATATTACCAGTACGTCATTCATTATTACGTTACTTTTTTCTTGTTTTACCTACATTGAAGCACAAACCATTTAAAAAAAAAAAAGAAATAAAAACTAACTCCAAAAGAATTTCACCTTCAAAAATCAAGGTATAAAATCGAAAAATGATACAACCTACAATAGAAAATCAATTAAAGAACCAGTCACCATGGAGATTCTTTGGATAGACTAGATATCTGTTACCTATCTCACTCTCTCAATATGTATATGTATACGTATGTCTATGTATGCAATGACTTGAAATGTTCCGAAATATAAAAATAACTTTCTATTTTAAAACAACGATTATTCACCTTTAAGAAAATGTAAAATTTATTACTTTACATTTGCAGTACAATCAATTTAGAAATATGAATTAATGATGATGATGATGATGATGATGATGATGATGATGATGATGATGATGATGATGATGATGATGATGATGATGATGATGATGATGATGATGATGATGATGATGATGATGATGATGATGATGATGATGATGATGATGATGATGATGATGATGATGATGATGATGATGATGATGATGATGATGATGATGATGATGATGATGATGATGATGATGATGATGATGATGATGATGATGATGATGATGATGATGATGATGATGATGATGATGATGATGATGATGATGATGATGATGATGATGATGATGATGATGATGATGATGATGATGATGATGATGATGATGATGATGATGATGATGATGATGATGATGATGATGATGATGATGATGATGAAATGACGTATATCTCATATGATAAAGAGATATATGAAAAAATATATATTTAAAAACATATGCTCACTGTTGACTGGCTCCATGAGTTATTTCTTGGAGTTCTAGTGAGAAGCAGTAACCAGTGGAGTTCAACCAGGTCTGTTGAGAGATAAAAACTCACTGGTGACATTGGTGAATGGTTGCTCAATTTCGTGGGTTGGTTAAAGTTAGACATTAACCATGTTGGATTCCGACAGGCCCAGTTGTCTATCTGTTAAATGCTCGCGTGCGAGACTGTTAAGTCCTGGGTTCAAATCTCACAAGGCGAGATCGTGTGTTCGCGCCTCTGAGGAGTCGCACAACAGGACAAAATGGTCTTTCAGTGCTTCCAGGTTTTCCATTGTGGTCTAATTTCATTTGATTCAACTATTAAAATTACTATAATATCCACAAAACCCCCTTCTGATAAAAAACATATCACATATGTCATTTCCGTATTGATTATTTCGGGTTATCTTATTCGTAAACCCCGGTATTTAGAAGCTAAATACGAAATATATAGAGAGATTATATCTTCATACAAACGTATGAAGATATAAACAATGGGGGAAATTTTTTAAAAAAAAAATGGAAATTTCGGCGTCAGGTATACACTATAAATCGAAATATACTTTTTTTGCCAGTTTTTATACTGTGATGAATTTAACATAAGGTATGAAGAAGCATTTCTACATTCTATATACATCTATATACATAGAAAAGTTTCATAGATGAAATGTCACACTCAGTCATATGACGGCCTGTTTAAACATCTGGGCTACCTGTTCCTGTCATCTAGATATTTCAACATGTTATCTAATTGTGTTTGTTTTAATACATCATTATGGCTATTAATTGCATAACGTATTCATATGCGTTTGTGAAAAGTGTACAACCTTTCACAGTAAAGGTTACAAAAGACCTAATCAGAGATATTGTGGTTGCTGGTAATATTCAGCGAAAATGAATTTACATTTACTTAGATGTCGTTTGACTAGACTGTTAATTTCTAACTGGAGATCACTTAATATTTATCATCAGGATCAACGAAGAAGTAAAAAACCGAAACTTGTTGAAGTAATTTGTGCTGAGAATTCTATATTTGTAGCAAAAATACATTAGATTGATGCATATAAGCATGAATGAGACAACAAAAATGTCGTATAGATCTATATGAATTCATGATATGCTTGCACAGTATTTATGTTTGAAGAGTATATGTGACTTCTGTGTGTTTTTCATAGATAATATTAAAACAATTTTATGCTTGTTAATTGAAGCTATATCGAGACAATACGCACAGTATGCACATATGATAATGAGAGACTAACCAGTTTCAGTCCTAACACATCAATGGGAAGATTTAAACAAACAATACTTAGTGAATTTAATCTTAACCCCATTGCAGGTGGATCCAGCTGACGAGTCCCAAATAGGGCAAAACGTGCCTCCTGGATTCCACTGCTATCCGCTATCCACCTTTGCTCATCATGCTTGTGAATTTAGGCTATATCGAGGCAATACGCACAGTATGCAAATATGCCAATTAGAGACTGACCAGTTTCAGTCCTAAACATCAAAGAGGAGATTCAAACAAACAATACTAAGTGAATTTTAAGCTTTCTTCTCTAAATATTTAAGTGGTTTTCATTCACTTACTAATGAGTAGTTTAAAACCGATAAGTATTTATTATCTTTAATGCCAAGTTTCGAATGTAGATAAAACAACCATCCAGTTTGTCCACTTGAATCTTGATTCATAATAAACGAAATTATTAAATAGTTATAACACTTAAAATAAAAACTGTACTCTCAAGGTTTTATTCATATTCTGTAAACTTTTTTCCTTCGTTCCTCACTTGTGTAATCAGTAGGATTTTGGAGTTACTTACTTACGTCTGTTACTCCCAATGGTGCATAGGCCGCCGACCAGCATTCTCCAACACACTCTGTCCTCCGCCTTCCTTTCTAGTTCTATCCAACTTTTGGTCATTTTTCTCATGTCTGTTTCCATTTCTCGGCGTAATATGTTCTTTGGTCTTCCTCTTCTCCTTTGACCTTCAGTATTCCATGTGAGGGCTTGTCTTGTGACGCAGTTGGGTGATTTCCTCAAAGTGTGCCCAATCCACTTCCAGTGCTCCTTCCTGATCTCTTCCCCCACTGGAATCTAGTTTGTTCTCTCCCACAGTAGGTTGTTGCTGATAGTTTCTGGCCAAGGGATCCAAAGTATCTTGTGTAGACAACTGTTAATAAACACCTATATGTTCTAGATGATGGCTTCCGCAGTTCTTCACGTCTCCTCCCTATACAGTAGAACTGTCTTGACATTTGTATTCAAAATTCTGATCTTGATGTTGGTTGACAGACAATTGTTTTGAGTTCCAGATGTTCGTCAGTTGTAAATAAGCTGCTCTTGCTTGAAGTACTCATGTGTTAATGGCTTGATGTATGTAGATATAATGCCAATGTCCTATTTTTGTCTTCGTCTAAATCTAAACTCATTATTATCATTATAGTTCCTACTTGGTCTATATTCCTTAAAGTAATTTTGATTTTCCCATGTTTCCATTGACTCCCAGTTTCTTCTGGTAATATTTAACTAAAGTTCCTTAAAGTTATTTTATTGTTTAACAAGTAGATATAAAGAATATATAATTGATTATAGCCGTCATGGACTGATATTACATACAGTGATGATGAAATCTAAGCAACAACGACGAGTTTTCATTGAATAGTCAGTTTACTATAGTTTGGATAAATGACCGATGATCTAGTGATATATCACAACTTTCAAAATTACGTTATATAAAGAGTGATGAAATTACTCACCTATATGAATTAGACCTAAATAAAAGCCAACAAATGTTTGTAGTCTTGAAAAATTCGGATGCCAGCTCGGTGGTCATTCGGTTAAGTGCTGTATCGCGAGACCGGTAAGTCTTGGGTTTGAATCTCGCGAGTGCGGGATCGTGAATGCGCGCTACTGAGGAGTCCCACACTAGGGCGAAACAGCCGTCCAGTGTTTCCAGGTTTTCCCTAGTGGTCTAGCTTCAATTGACTCACTCAACTTCAACAATTCATCAGTTTTCTTTACTTATCCTTACGAGAGACACTGATAAAAATTACTTACTAAGTTAAGCAAACTGGCTGGAAAGGATTAAGCAGGAAAAGACTGATCCATTGCAAATTTTCCTTTTACTATGGTAATAACTTCCTTACTAATTCTATAACTTGTTTTCTTTTCATCTTCTATGAGTCCATCAAGCGGACAGATTATTTCCAAACATATCACTCACTAAATTGTCCTTATCTTGCCAGCTTCCATCACTTCTTAAACTGAGATAATGGAGAAGATTTATAGCTCAGGTGGGTGATTTTGATGTAGGTTTGTTCTCTGAGCTGGATGGTTTGGCTGTGACCATCCATCCAGCTCAGAGAACAAACCTACATCAAAATCAACTTCTTAAACTATTACAAAATTATCACAAGGGGGTTTTTTTGTGGAGATTTAATAATTTTATAGTTAAGATCATGAGTCAATTGAAGCTAGACCACCATGGAAAACCTGGAAGCACTGCTTGACCGCCGTTTCGTCCTATTATGGGACTCCTCAGCAGTGCGCATCCACGATCCCGCTCTCGTGAGATTCGAACCCAGGACCTACCAATCTCGAGCCAGAGCCCTTAACCGATAGACCACTGAGCCGGCATCCAACGGTGTTAATGTCTAACCTCAACCAATCCACGAAATTGCGCAACCAACTTCCAATGTACTGATGTAGATACTTGTCTCTACCTCACATGGATTAGCTCCACTGGCCACGACTTCTCACTAGAACTCCAGGAATTACCTCAAGGAGCCAGTCACTAGTGAGCATATGATCATTATCACAAGGGGGTTTTTTGTGGAGATTTAGTAATTTTATAGTTAAGATCATGAGTCAATTGAAGCTAGACCACCATGGAAAACCTGGAAGCACTGGAGCCCTTAAGGGCTCTGGCTCGAGATTGGTAGGTCCTGGGTTCGAATCTCACGAGAGCGGGATCGTGGATGCGCACTGCTGAGGAGTCCCATAATAGGACGAAACGGCCGTCCAGTGCTTCCAGGTTTTCCATGGTGGTCTAGCTTCAATTGACTCATGATCTTAACTATAAAAATATTACAAAATTATTATTCAATATTTGAAGGCTTATATTGCTTAGCAAATGTAGCAATATACATTTCTTTTTCTGGTTAGCGTTTTTTTTTAGCGAGTTGATTTTCTACTGGATGGGGTTGCTAACCCCATGCCCAACCCTCCTCCTTTACCCGGGCTTGGGACCGGCAGTAACCCCCAGAGGAGCTACAGGCGGAGTTAAATGTAGCAATATACTTCTATTTAATTATAGTTTATTATATGCTGAATAATAAGGCATACATTAAAGTCCGTTATTAGATTTGCTGTAGTTAAGCAAAGAACAACAAAAGGTGGTTAAGAGTTCTTTTCTTGCTCAGTTGTTGGAAAAAGGATATCAGGTTGACTTCTTTAAATATTTAAAATTTATTGGCAAAGTTCCATCAAATTTCTTATATGATTTACAGGTTCATCTTTTGTATACCGGTGAATCTATTACAATCTATATCTAGTAGCCCTACGATAGTACACAATATAAGTTCATCTATCCTCCCTTTCTACCTTGATCACTGTAATAGGTCATACAATGGTGAGTAGGTTAACGTTCACAAACTTTCTCGTTTACTATTACGTAATTCTATTATTATCAGTTCTTCAACAACATAATACACATGTTATCAGTAGGATTAAACTGCTCCTTAAGTATTTCATCAATTCTATCATCATCAATTTGTAAACTGCATATTCTAATTTGTTCATTTATTAATTTATACCTTTGAATATTTTTCACCGTATCCATCTCACTCTACGATAATTGAGTTAAGCATTCACAATTAGTTTTATTATTACTTAAATTTGCATTATTGTCTAACAAATCAACAAAAGATGGGTAGATTTACGTTAATACCAGTATGAGGCTTTTTGTGGGGATTTCGAATATTTTCATAGACTTTATATCACAAATTGACACGGGATCGAATCCATCAGAGAGCACCAGTTCCATCAAGATTACAGATACACCTTGTTGACGTGTGCCAAGTAGCACGAAACCCAGGTCCAGGGTTTCCTATTAACCACCTCCAAACACCATTTTATCTCAACAAATTGATTTAAGCTAGACTACCATTAAAAGCTTAGAAGACTGGAAGATCGTTTCGTCCTAGTAAAGGACTCCTCGGCAGTGAGCATGCACAACCCTGTTTCCTTATATTTGAGTTTTGAGAAACTTCCTGTTTCTCAAACACAACTCAATTATATGTTGGATAGTGATTAATAAATTTCAGGCAGTTTTCTGACTACATCAAGACTAAACTAACTATAGTTATTGGCAATCTAATATCTACCATTGTAATGTGTCACTTTCTCATAAATTTTGTGTACATTCGAACAATGCTACTTGCAATATTATCCTCAACCTAAGTGATTCAAATTTTTGGTTGTTTACAAACGATCAACGTCAAGGTTTATAAACGAACTTGAAGAAGTTGATAGTATCTCAACCTACAGATGTCCGTTTTCATTCTATGTTTCAGTGATCAATATCAATTTAAATTGTTCACCGCAGTAAAACTTTGGTTTCGTAGAGTATTATTTCTACAAATGCAGCTGACAAGATCATATGGATTACGAATAGAATGGCCTAATCGTGGATTAGGTAAAAGTGAATGTGGTTCGTTCGAATTAACCGCTATGACATCTGATATATAGTGAAGGTACAATCTTTCACCTTATATTAATCCGAAGAAGATTATGTACGCACCTGGAAAAGCCCTTACTACCCTGATATTACGTCACATTCTTATTGGTTTGATAAACATGTAAACAATGACAAAACAATGGTTAACGGTAATCGGTCAAAATCAAGGTTGATAGAACAATTTGTTTGTCTTGTGAATGGAAATTCAAATCACTCATATCTATTTGAAATTTTTTTACTGACGAATTGGTCCAGAATAACAACGGATGCATGTATTAAAACAATTTTTAGCTTAAGAGCACAACTTTATCAAAAGTATCTACTTCAGCTACAATTCTTCATTATCTCAAATACAAAATTATGAATCTATACAATTGATTCCTAGCATACTGTAGCATTTCTAAAATCCTGACTTTTCAAATAAATTCACTGTATCTATTCTGTTGTTTAATTACGGTTTTTGGTAAGTATTCAAAATCACAATAGATGGTATTTGATTAGGTAAACTTAAATAAAAACTCGACTACCTAAACTTTTATTTAGTTTCAATAACACACTACTTAATTCATATTTAAATAGCTTGCAAGTTATAATTCTTTTTTTGAATTGGTTGTTTAGGTTTTCCAATTGATGTTTAGGACTGTAACTGTTCAGTCTTTTATTGGCAGATTTGCATCGTATGAGGACTGCCTCGATGTTGCATGAAGTCACAAGCATTAAACGCAGAGACGGATAACTGCTAGCAGTGGGATTCAGGACACACGTTTCGTTCTATTTGGGACTCGTCAGTCGAATATACCTGAATCCGAGTTGATGTTCACTCTGAGATTCGAACCCAGTACCTCTCACTTCAAGCGCCATCGCGCTACCCACTCAGCTACTGAGTCAAGATATCCATCAGCTTGTTCAATGGGTTTGTTAGACGGATAACGCGATGGTGGGGGAAGTGAA